TTATGGAGGACACTCTGCTGGAGAAAGAACAGCAGCTAAAGTGCTGCAGTCAGGTCTATATTGGCCCTCCTTGTTTAAAGATGCTAATGTTTTTGTTAAAAAATGTGACAGGTGCCAGAGAACAGGGAACATTACAAGAAAGCATGAAATGCCCCTTGTTCTAATAATGGAGGTTGAATTGTTCGATGTATGGGGCATTGATTTCATGGGGCCTTTCCCACCTTCCTTTGGAAACAAGTATATACTTGTTGCAGTTGACTATGTGTCGAAATGAGTAGAAGCTGTTGCTACCCCCACCAATGATGCCAGGATAGTGCTGAAGTTCATCAAGAAGAATATTTTCACTCGATTTGGAACCCCTAGAGCAATTATCAGCGACGGAGGTACACATTTCGTGAACAAACAATTCCAATTGCTCCTGAAGAAATATGGAGTGCAGCACAAAATTGCCACCCCTTACCACCCACAGACCAGCGGGAAGGTAGAGGTGTCCAACAGGGAGATAAAAAAATCCTGGAAAAGGTCGTAAACCCAGATAGAAAAGATTGGTCCAACAAATTGGATGATTCCCTATGGGCATATCGAACAGCTTATCGAACGCCCATTGGCTTCTCCCCCTATAAGTTGGTGTTTGGAAAAGCGTGTCACTTGCCTCTGGAACTTCAACACAAAGCATTCTGGGCCATCACATTGCTAAACATGGATTCCATAATGGCTGGGGAAAAAAGTTGCTCTAGTTGGTTGAACTGGAAGAATTCCGGAGCAAGGCATACGAAAACGCCAACCTCTACAAGGAACAGATGAAAAAGTGGCACGATAAAAAGCTTATCAAGAGAGAGTTAGAAGTTGGAGACAAAGTGCTGCTGTATCGATCCAGATTGAAACTGTTTCCTGGAAAGTTGAAATCAAGATGGGAGGGACCTTATGCAATCACTGAAGCACTTCCCAATGGAGCATTTACCATTGCTCATGAAAGATCTGGAGCAACGCTCAGGGTAAATGGACATAGACTCAAAAAGTATAATAGAGGGATCAAGGAGCATGAGAGACTGACTTCTCATCTCGATGACCCAGCTGAAGTCTGACCCAAGGAGCAACAAGTCGAGCTAAGACTATAAACGAAGCGCTACTGGGAGACAACCCAGATTTATTTCTACGTCATTCTTTTTATTATTGTCTTTGTTTGAGAAAATTAATGTGCTAACCATTGCAGGAAGCTAGTTTTGGGGTTGTTCTTGAGCAACCTGATCCCAAAAGCAAGGAGCAACCAACACTTAGAATTTGATCCCTCAATGTTGAAACCAAGTTCTAATTGGGCTGATCCACTTGCCCCTTTTAACCCAAGGGCCTGCAATGGGCCGCATGCGAAAAAAACAGAAAAGACTGGAAGGAGGAGATCGGGCTCTTGAAAGATGAATTGATGAAGAACAAAGAGGAGGAAATTCAACTCCGATTGTACTACAGAGCTCGGGATCAAATCTTCGCCAGTAACTGGGGAGAAAAATTCAAGGGACAAACTCCATATCCACCGTATCCAAATGTCTTCCCTCTAGAAGCAATAACAAATGCTCCGTTTAGCGGAGCAATACAAGAAACTGGAGAGCATTAAGGGTCGCTACGGTGACCCCAGGTTCATTCGTTCCCTATCATTTTTAACTTGTTTAAATCTGTTGGAATGAACGCCTGAAAGTTTTGTGGTGGAATGTTACTGACTTTGCTCTTAGATAAATGACTTTTGTGGTGTACCAGGGATTCGCCACCCTGTTTTACTTTTTTATAAAAATATTGTTTTTAATTTTTGCTAAGTTTACCGTCCTAAGTGTCCTGATCTACTCAATGATTCTTTTTGCCCAGGATTTTGCTCCTTGAGATGCCCTAAAGAGTTTACAGTTTCTAACAAAGCAACATAGGGCATCACTCTGATTTGGAGCAACACCATGCACAAAAAGCAGCACTCCAAAAATCGGACACTCTGTTATTCAGTGGACTTATTGAGTTACCAAGGAAAGAACTTCAGGTTGTTTAAATAAATTACTCTGCCCCTGGTTTAAAAAAAAAAAAAAAGAAGGGTCAGCTCCTCTGCTCCAAAAATTTCGCTCAAAGAGCTCAAGTCATCAAGGTGAGAGAGAGAGCCGCTCAAAGAGCATGCTGTTGAAGGTCAGCCTTATGCAAAGACAAGGGTAATTAACTTCCAGTTAAAAGACCTGAAAAGAAAGAAATAGAGAAGGGAGATAAGAAGTAAGAGAAGAAATCAAGCCAAAAAGTTCAATCCGGAAGCAACTCTGTGGGAAACTGACTAAAAGAGTGGAAGAGGTCACACACACAATGAAGCTGGTGAAACTCACAAGTCAGATGAGTGCTCTAATGAAGCGATGGAAGGAGTTAAGTTAACTCTTCATCGATAATCTCAAGGAGCATTAGCCTGCCACAAGAAGACTGTTGGTTGTGAAGGATTACTCGGGACGAGTAATATCTAGTTTTGGGGTGTTGATGGTTCTCAAGAGTTGAGGCCCATTAAGTGTAAATTGTTCCACAAAACCCATGTTTTGGTTATAAATCACTCCCTTCAACCTTCTTCTTTCCATATAAAGCAACTGTTTTGAATAGTGGACCAGAGCAATACCGAAAGTGGGAGTTAAGGTAGACCTGGAGCAAATTTAACATTATCTTTTTCACATATGACTATTGGGTTAGTTTGCTTTGTTCAGGACACCTAAGGCCCATCAGAAGGAACCACAAAATGAAGAGAGAAGAAGGAGTGTTGCGCGGAAAAGAAAAAAAAAAAAAAGCCTGCTGTAGTACAACAGCAGTCAAAGGAAGCAATGGGAAGCCGCCACGTCAGCCACAGCAGAGAAGGTGGAGGTGCTATCTCTGCTACAGTACGAAAGCAAAGAAGCTGAGCAATCAAAAGCCGCCACGTCAGCTGCAGCAGAAGGAGTGGAGGTGCCTCCCTGAATCCGATACTCCCACTCACAAAGGGAGCCAAAAGCAAGGGGGACCACTTCCATTTAAGGCCAAGCTGGCAAAAAGCAAGGCTACCATTGGAGAGGATTTCTATTCGGAGCTGAGCTGGCAAGAAGCAAAGCTACCATTGGAGAGGATTTAAACAAAGCACGACCCTTGATGAAAGGAACAATGAAGATCAAATGAAGAACCCTATAAAAGGAACAAGCAATCCTCATAAAGAAAATCATCAGCGCCCATCCTAGGACTCGTCATCTCTTTGTTTTCTTTTTGTAAAAATGTTCACTAGGAGCTAACTTCCTCTAAGTAGGTGAGGGTTCCATAGAAGTAATCCCTTTTGTCTCAGTATAACTTTGTAAGGAACACATTTTTTATAAATGAATTTTGAGTTGCTCTTTGGTTTAATTTATTGATTTTGTGAAACCCTTTGGGCTGGCAACCTCATCCCGGGACCACTCGGTTGATGAAACACTGACAAGGGCGTGTGGGGCATTCTCAAGATCCTGGGGTAGTTTAGCCTGAAGAAAGGAGGGAGAAGCACCTGGAATGGGGAGCACTGCCATGTGAATCCATGCTCTTTTGAGAAGGCAGCATGGTTTCCTTGCATATAACTCCAAGTACTATGGAGTAACATGGAGAGTAAGGCCTTACCCTCTGCTTACCTATAGCAAAACAAGGGAAGGAGCAAAATCCACTTGTAAAATATGCTACCAAGCAGGGTTAACCAAAGGGATGAAAACATGGAACCCGTAACACCTACTTGACTTTTTCTGAAATTAATCTTAACTCAAACTTCTATCACAATCTTTTCCTCACGATAACTGAACTGTGTTTTACCAGCTGATGCTCTTACTTTCATTTCGTTGTGTAACATCCCGCAAAAATTAGGAAATCACATAACTTGTAATTAGAATGTGAGGCAGGCTTGAAATTCGAATTAAATTATAGCGTGGAATTAATTTAATTAGGTAAATTATTTTGGTGGAAACTTCAAGCGAGTGTTTAAGTATTTTAAGAATTCAAAACCCTAGTTAAGGAGGAATGGTATTAAGTTAATTATAATTTATTAGAGACCCTAGTCCCTACCTTGCGGGAACATGAAAGAATAATTAATAACATATATTATATGTGATAAGTTAAAATTTATATACATATACCATGAGGATGCAAAACTCTAGTTAAAAAGGGAGAGGACTAAATTATCATAACATATAAAAGCAACTTGAGTACTTATCCTTTATTCAAAGAAAAAAAAAACAAATCATAGTCCCTCTTTTATTGGTCAAGGAACTCCATTTGGCAACTATCATCATTCCTTATCTCCTCTTGTCCTTACGCATAGGGTGAGAAGAAAGCAAATGAATTGCTTGTAACTTTAGCCAAACTAGATCAGCTTTACAACCATGCAACCAATGAGTAAGGAAAGAAATCTTCCTTGCGCCATGTGTCCAACAATCAACCTACCTCACCTTATCTATTCAGGTGCGCCTAACAAGGGGAGGAAGTCATTTACCTTGGCTGACCTTAGGGACCAGAATCAAATCACACTCTTACTCTCCTCTCTAGACCGTAAACCATTGGGATAAGAAAAGGAAAATTCAGTTCATCCTCAACCATCCCACACAAAACTGTGAATACCATTGATGGGTAACCAAAGTTTCTAACACTTTTCTTCTTCCCCCTCTTCACGTTGCTGTCGCCATAAAGAAAGCTAAGAGAGACTAAGCTTGCATGTCTTCACATCGATTCCCTCAAGGCTGTGAGGTTCCAAGAAGATCGACCCAACATTTAGGGTACCCTCCTACTTTCCCCTCTTGCTCTGTCGAGCCTCACCAAGCAAAGGGGGGTAATGTGTCCTCTTTTCTTGTCTTCCTATCACACCATTCTGTTTTAATGGAACTCCCTCTTGCACACAGACTTCGAGCTCCTGCCTTGCACTTGAAAGGTGGGAAAGGTTACTTAATCATCTTGTTGTCCTCTTCAGCGCCTAGTGAGACATTGGAGTACATGATGGGGACTGAAAACCGAGAACCACCATTTCATTTTCCCCATTTTTCGATCTTCCAGTTGTGAATTACTTAATCATCTTAGTGCATGCAAGCACCTATCGGTTTTGAGCGTGGCAAGATAATTCTTTATGGGTTAGGAACTGTTTCCTTTAGTTAAGGTAGTTGTCAAGATTGGTTTTTTTTGTTGAGAACATTCTGGCCAGCATGTTAAAATAACCAAGATAGCGCCCCTTAGTCATGAGAGTCATGTGTTCTAATGGAAAATATTAAGTTCTTAGTTGATGACTTAAGACCGTACCTACATGGCTTAGAAACATTGAATTCCTATTGTTTACTAACATTAGAAAAATTAATGGCGAGTCAGAAGATTATATAGGCAGAGAATTATGAATCCCAATTTGAATCAAATATTTTATATGTTAAAACTGTATAAACAGCCTGCTAGAAACTTGCTCACTCACATATAAGTCTTGTGGAAAACGTTATGTAAATAAATTAAATAGTACATCAAGTTGCTGGCAAGACCGAATCTTCATGCATAGGCCCTTGGAATTTTACTGTCACTAGCTAGCAATTGATAATATTTTGTGAAACGATAAATTCAAGAGCACCTAGTAATGAATAAAACCGAATCTGTGTATATTAGGAACTGTGGATTTTATTTTGGTATAAACGGAATGGGGAGCACTTGCTAAGGGTTGAGAACCGAACCATGTGTAGGGAATATTCTGATTACTTCACTTGCTGCCTTTTTGTGAAATAACTCCATGTTAGAAAAACTAAATTAGGATAAAAAAATCACGAAACCATTTTGAATCAAGACTTGCATATGTGTATAGTTTTGTTGACAGCATGCTGAAAATTATATGAATCAAGAATACGTGGTATTGGCAGTAATTTGTAAATAAAATTTATAAGCATCTAGTTGATGACCTTAATAAAACCGACCCTTGATTTTTGAAGTATGCTAACTTAAAGACTGTATTGTTGAGGTTTAAAAATATAGCCCTCTTGATGTTGATAAACCGGATTTTTTTGCATAGGACTTGGTTGATCTTTTTGTGTTGAAACGGCATGTATAGCTTATTTATAACCTTGTTTCTTTCACCGTAAGCTTTATAGGAAACGCTATGAAAATAAATTAATTTATGTATATGATTCATGGTCAAAACCGAATTAGTGTGTAGGCCACCTAGGAACATGGTGCCTACTAGCAATTGAACTTGTGTTGTCAAACACTGTATGTATTAGAAGAATCTATATAAACAACATGCTTTATGTCTCTTAAGCGTAACTTAGTCTTGGTAGAGGATGACATGTGGATGAGGAAATTGTGTCACTTGATAATAATTAGGAAAGCTGAATCTAAGGCAGAAATTAATTAAAACTCGAAGAATGATAAGTCGATTGAAATCATGGGAGTTGAAAGCATAGAAATTAATTGTGAATTATGAGAACCAAAGTTAAAATTTTGTTTGGCTTTTCTTGCTTAATTAGGTGCACATGACCTTGAATATGGGCTGAGTTACTACTGTTTGATGATATTTGGAAATGCGTGATTAAAAAGGTTAAAGACTCGAGGTATGTGTAGGCGGTATTACCTAATGTGACTATTGGCTAGTGTATGGAATTGTGATGTGTTGCTCACATTTGTTCTATGTATGTTATGATGATGATGAGCCAATGGTAAGTATATGAAAAGATGATATGATATATGCATGCATTTTACATCATAATACATTTTTCTGTTGGGTGCGATTGCATAACATGGCATGTATACTTGATTCATGACATCTTGAATATATATATATTTGTATTGAGGACATGTGACTGAGCATGCATCATATAGGCATGCCTGGTACCAGGAGAGGGGACACTTGGCTTCAGGCCACATAGGTTCCACAGGGGATTCACCTTCATGGGAGCCATTAGGAATACCCACTGTGATGCTACGCGCACGACGGTGCTATGAGCGTAAAGGAAAAAGGGCGTTATATACGCGTTATGATATATGATGAAAATGATTAAATGCTTGAAGTGACTATTTATGATTTTGTTCCTAGTTAATATTGTTGCATTATGGTTTTGTTGCCACACTACTGGGATTTTCTCTCACCCCTTTGGGGCTGCTATTTTTACAAAATGGCAGGAGGACGTAAAAGCTTTTGAGGACTTGGATATTTGCTGTTGGCTTCTACTGTTTGGGCATGCTGCGATTGATGTGATATTTTATGGATGACTGTATGAAATTGAGAAGCTTTTATTACTGTGAACTATGATTTTATTATTGCATTACGATTTTATGACCAGCAAGTATTTTGGAAACATATGTTGAAACGTTTGCGAAAAGGATTGTGACATGTTATCTAAATGCTGAGTTTTGAAAAGTCTTTGGGAGCACTTTGTAAGTTGTCGTACTGGGGCTACAGACCTCCGATTTTCTTATAATTTATATGCACGCGTAGCCCCAGGTGTCTAGTTTCATTATATATAAACCTTGCAAAGAAATTCTGAAAGATCGATTTATTATGAATTTTACCAGCCAGGACATTTGTGATATTTCCACTACTTTCTCTCTTATTTTGCGAGTTATGTTTCGAGGGGCAAACGAACTCCAAATCACTATTATTTTATATGAACGTGAAGCCCCGGATGTCTAGTTTCTAGATTACAAAGAATATTTTTTTGAATCGTTGAAGTGAATTTTATACGAATTTTAAAGACAGCAAGGTCTGCCAGGAAAGTTATACTTTTAGTAGTTGAGAAATTTTGAAAGTATACTCTGATTTTTGTGATGAACCCGATTTCAAAAATAAAATCATTTTAATTGGCATTGTAAAAGTGATTTTCAGTCTCTAAAATATGATTAAAGAACTCTAATCCGCTTAGCAAACAACTCTCTTGGATGCATACAAGGGAGGGTGTTACACGTTGACTGCTCTCGAAGTTACTTAAATTGATGCCTTTTTATTCGATGACCGTGCTAAGTCATTCACTGCTCTCATCTGGTTCAGAATGGTTAATATTGTTTAACTAGCTGCCCAGAGATTGCTCTTTGTGAAGCTTAGCTGAGATAGTACTTTCTTTTATTGCTCCATTTTACAAATTAAGTTTCCTTTAGCGCTTCTTACTTCACAACTGCTCCCTGAGGACGATAAATCTGGGGCTACAATACCCTATATTGCTTGACACGTACGCTTGCGTATAGTTGAAGAGGGTTGCTCTTAGTCAGAGTAGATTGCTTCTGTTGGCAATCCTGATTATTACTCTGCACTCTTGCTCTCTGAAAAGATATTCCCGAGCAGCTCTCGGTTCGACCAAGCAATAATCTTCCCAATGTTTTTGGCAGTTCTTACAGTACCACTTCTCAAAATCCTCACAAATGAAAAATGGACATTTTTTGCAAGACTTGTACCACCAGTTGTATTTGCTCTCAAGAGATTTTATAGTCTCATACGTGATGCAAGCCGTAACCTTAAATATAGCAATCGCAGGCAAACAGTTCACATCATTCATACAAACTTGATATTATTCAAGAAAAGTGAAAAAACAAAAATTCGATATTTACCTAGCCACAAAGTTTCACATCACTGATAGACTTCTTTTCAGTCTCCTTCAGAAAATCATTTTCGTAAGAATAGGAGGACTGAGTAGACAACTGAGTCATCCTCAAACTACTTTCCACACAATCAGCCGAAAGACTATAAAGAGAAAATTCATAACACCATAAATGATTAACCGAATAAATTGTCAAATGAGTTCAAGAATAACAAACACACCATTTTTTGAACTCAACGATCTCTGGCATCTTCGAATCCATGACAATCCTCGTTGTATATTTTATATTTGTTAACCCAACCTTACCTATCGAGTTGAGTATATCAAATAAAAACTGAAAAGCCAAAAAAAACGTGAATTAAAAGAACACAGAAGCATAACGTTTTGTCAAAAAAGATTGTTAAAATCATACCCCTAAAACATTTTATCCTACCTAGCTGAACTATCATGACGTTATGAGGAGTGTCGTTGTTTGCCATAAAAGATTGGACCTCATCCACATAATGCTCCCACAAAGTGCACTCCAGCTTGTGACCCCTTCATATGAGTTGCAGCAAGAACAACAGTAACACACGAAAAATATAAGCTAACAGATCTCGACAAAATTAATTTTTTTAAATCTATAATTTTAAATACCTCGGGTTGTCAAGCTCCAACACAATCATTTTCGTCTTCCTACCAAACACCACACGTTCATAAACTTCACCAATTCTTGAGATTAAACCAATGACGTCTACAAAAAAAAGGGCAGCAAAGAGTTTGTTAAAAAATGCAAAAAATAAAAAACAGTCAGGAAAATTGTATTACCCACTAAATAAGGAGAGTCAGATGTTTCTTTCTCAGTGATGTCATAATCAACAAAATCAAATTCACTCGCAGAAATATTAGAATGAACAATTGATCTAAGATCAGTCCTCAAATTGAAAGACAAACGAAACTGATGTTTGGTTGGCCTGAACACATCGCTATTGAATCCAACTTCAAATTTTTTTATAAAATAGCAGTCTCCTTCATGGATTTTCTTCCGCACCGGCAAAGAACCTTTGACAGTGGCGTGGATCCTACCACCCTACAAAAGAACGCAGCCAACTCACAAAAGATGGAAGATTTAAAAAACGCAAAGAACCAAGATTTAAAAAACGCAAACAACTACATGTTCATCCAATAAAACCATTTCAACATTGCCAAAGAATGGGTTTGTCTTAGAATATAAGATATTTTATGCTTGTCTCATGATTTGACACGTGACAATTATTTGCATTCTTCATTAATAATTTTATTTGTCCTATGATATTTTTTAAGAAAAAATATTTATCATTTTAAAGAACATAAATTTATGTCATTTCAGATAAAATAATATCATTTCATTTAAAATAATATAAAGTTGTGTCATTTTAAAATAACAAATATTTTTTCCTATTTTTTTTTTTGGTACATTGCCAGGAGGTATCCCCATTCAACCTTCTCCGGGCACCATGCCCTCGGGGTACGGCCCGTTTGGGCTAGCCCCTCATTGTAACAATGAGTGCACTAAGCTTCGCAACCGGAGAAAGGACGAGACTAATCTCCCAATCAAAGATTTTTTGGCTTATCCTCTGGCCCCCAAAGATTTTCCAAGAAACTGCTTGAGGCAGGGTTTGATCCCTGCACCAAGCAATCCCTTGGGAGCTCATAACATCAGACATGGGACAAAATAGTTTTATTCTATCCACTACTTTATTTAAGGGAGTATTTCTCGAGTGATTGGATATAACCATACAAAGATGAAAATAAATATAACCGTTGGATCACATAATCGATCTAATGGTAAAATTAATTGGTAATAACATTAATTAACACCCTGTAACGATCCAAAATTAAAAAAATTAAAACAATGGAGTTGCCACCAATTTTATTTACTCTGGAAAAATTGGAAAACCTTTTATTACAAATTGATCTTTAAAATTATAGATCAAAGGTTCAGGAGTCTAATTATGCGCAGGGAAGGTGGAAACTTAATCCCACTACACACCTGACACATCCGTTTTAAATCGGTTACCTTGGATTATTTGTGCGAATTATTAATAGCTTTTAAAAATATTTATTTTTTTCATTAAAACAAATATGATTATTTAAGAAGAATGAAGACAAAAATATTAAATTTTTATTTTAGCTTGACGGAAAGATTCCGCTCCGACGTATCCTTATGTGCAGTGAAGAATTCAAAGCTACGTCATTTTTAAAAATTATTTGTGTATTGGCTGGTTTTAATTTTTTAAAATGATTTTAAAGAAATTATTTTAATAGCTTCGGCTTATCAAGTTGTCATAACTAAAATAACTCGAAAAATACTACGAGATTAACAAAGCGTTAATCCCTAATTATAAAAAAAAACATAAAATAATACAAAATAATTACCAAACTTATCCTTCCCATTTTTTATTTTCTCTCTTATATAATAATAGGATTCACCCAATTTACAAGAGTGCAACGGAAAACTTTTTCTACATAATTAACACGGGTCTTTATTTTATCATATTACATGATGTCATGCAACACTAAAAGACAAAAGAAAATAATAAAAAAAAAATATGATAAAACACTTTGTTCATTGATTTTATTTTGTCTTATCTTAACATGTGATAGGATATTGTGACACACAAATAATGTTACGCACAATGTTACGACCACATCTTAACCATTGATTTCCGCCAATCAACGGTTATCATTTTTCAAATCAAACTCATTAATTAATTATTAATTCGCAATAAATGATAATCGTTGATTGACGAAAATCAACGATTAAGATTAAGATGTAGTCGTAACATTATTTGTGTGTAAGAAAGAATATCTTATCCCTCTTAACGTAACCAAATTATTTTTCCTAGCATGTAACTCTTATTTATCCCTAATTAACACTGTACTTTCTTCGGTGCAAACAACTCCCAAATCCCTAAATTGTTCGAACTATGGCAGATAGGATCAGCGTTTTACCAGACGCAGTCATCTGCTACATCCTCTCTTTTCTCCCAACCAAACAATCGGTTGCCACAAGTGTTCTCTCCAAGAGATGGATGTCACTCTGGCGCTCAGTACCGACTCTCCATTTCTTCGAAAACACATGGAACCATACCCTTTTTGTTCAATCCGTTTACAAATTTATCCTCTCTCGAGATTTGCACCAAACCATCAAAACATTCAGCCTCACATGTATATCTTCTCTTTGTTATGATAACAATATCAACACATGGATCAACGCTGCACTACAATGCGGAGGAGTTGAGCACCTCGACCTCTGTTTTGACTTTACCATCGAGTTATCCTCTCCCATTCTCACCCACAGAACCCTCGTCGTTCTCAAGTTGAGCGGTTTAGATATTACAACTTTTTCGTCTGTTGATCTCCCCTCACTCAAAATCCTGCAATTAAGTGAAATTATTTTCGAAGAAAGTGGATATCTCGCGAAGCTTCTTTCTGGTTGTCCACTACTTGAGGATTTGGTAGCTAAGAATATATCTTTTCATGACTCTCCAACAGATGCAGAGTTTAAAAGCGTACCAAAGTTGGTCAAAGCAGATATCTCTAAATTTATTCTATCAGAAGCAGTTGCAGTTGCCAATGTCAAATTTCTGCACATAGATTGGGTAATATGGTTTCAATATTAAAGATTTATATTATTATATCTCTAACATATTTAGGTGTGTTTGGCAGAGAACTTTTTTTTAATTTTTTTTCTCACTATATTTCCATGAATACAGTGAAAAAGTGAATTTTGCTGGAATGTTACCCAAAAAAAAATTATTTGGTAGGTCTTAGAATTTTCATATCTAATTTTCTATTTTGCCAGAAAAGTGGGTGGTATTCTTGGGTGATATTTTATATACAAAACAAAATCCCAGCAAAATTATATTCTTGTAAAGATTTTCAGAAATTTTCTATCAAACATGGATAAATTGGATTACCACCCTCACTTATCGGGAATCTGAAAATAAACTCTCTGTCAAACACTCCCTTGGAGTTTATAATTTAGGGTTTAGGGTTCTCCTACAACATCCGTGTCACTGGATGTTGTTTTGGATAACCAGAGATAGAAGATAACTTTGTCACCTGGATTGGAGAAATATTAAACCCTAATTATATTGTATCTAACAGTTTTTGTAACTTCTACAGAGTGATGATATGGATCAGGGTACGAACCCCTCTTTCAAAGACCTTGTTCTGGTGTTTCCCAATTTAATCCATATCAAATTCTACAATGTTTATTGTCCCGAGAATTTGCCTAAGATAGTAGAAGTGCTCAAGCATTGTCCCAAGCTTCAAACTCTTGTCATCGATCATGTCTGTTAAGTTTATGCCTTTTAAGGATGATTTTTGTTTCTATTTTTCTCTTCACACGATTTTATTGGTTTTATTTTATGTCTATGATATGGTTAACAGGATGGTTTCAGTGAAGATGACGAAGAAGGAGGAGGAAAATGGCCATACCCACAATCTGTTCCTGAATCCATTTCATTACAACTTAAAACATGCAGTGTTAATAATTATGAAGGCTCAAATGGTCAGTTTCGATTTGCAAGATATATATTGCGGAATGCAAGATTTTTACAGTTCATGACAATCTGCACCTTTGACACAAATCCACACGCAAAGCTTAAAATGCTGAAAAAGTTATCTTTATGCCCAAGGTGCTCCACAACTTGTAAACTGTCATTTGAATGATAGCAGATGAGATTCTGTGAGTAGTTATTTGACGTCTGCCTTTTTATTAGTAACTGCAAGGATATTGACTTTGTCTTTTTCAAATCAACTGACCTGTTTCATTACTGATGATTGTTTGTAATTTGAGTTATAGTATACGCAGTCTCTGGAGATTGTTTGTTAAATTCAGATCTTATGCAAAACCACCAGGGTATTGAGGTCTAAATTGCAAATTAGCGTTTCTCATGTTGGTCATGCTTTGCCTTTTCAGTTTTCACACAAGCATGCTCACACACACAAGGATTAATAGTGTAGTTGTTTGCTCAAATGAACTATTTTTTGTCTTTTTATAGCATTAACGTTCTGATTGTTTTTGTCTTGACCAGAAATTACTTCTACTTGATCCAATGATCCTACTCTAGAATTTTTTTTTAAAACGCACTAGAAATCTAGAATACCACCAGTATACCAAGTGCCACAATTTACCATTTAAAAAAGAGGAAAAACAAATCACAATATGGTTTCTTGGGATTACAACTAAGATTTCAAATACATTTTGCAATCAAACTGACAAAATACAAGACCAATCATGTCATAGTCATCGATAAATAAACAGCACCCATTTGCTTTTACATTTCCACAACACAGTTTTAGTAGTTCAGATGGATAGTGATCCTCAGCAATGTCTCAGCACCATCAGTGGAAATTTGCCCTGGTGGGATAAGACCTCTCAGTTCTGCAAACCCCCTTGCATTCTTGAACTTCCCTGTGCCCCCTATCACAGATAATCGTGACATGGTACTTCCAATCTTGTACAGGCCATAAAAGTTCAAGCTATCTCCATATTCCCCTCCTTCAAACAGGGCTGTGAATGCCATCATCTGTCTAGTCCCATCTGCTGAACTTGCCACATACACCCCTTGAGCTTTCCCAATTATTTGGGACCCCAACTCAGGTTGAGAAGTTAGTATATCATCTATTACAGTGATTGTACCAAAGCCTAGTCCCAGTCCATCAGGTCCTACCTGAAGCTGTGCATTATTTTGGTTGTTGTTGTTGTTGTTGTTGTTGTTTGAGTTTCCTGCAAAAGAAGTACCAGCCAAGCCAGTTCCTAGTGGAGTACCAAAAACTCCATTGATAGTGGGAACAGCACCATTGGCATTGGGGATGGGAATCCCACCTTGTGGGGTGTTGAATCCTACTGGGGTTGCAAAGGGCACTTGACCACTGTATATGTTGCCTAGCAAGCCAGTTACAGGTCGAGCTGTTGGGTTACTGCCCCCAAGAATGTCATGCATATATAACTCAATGACTGGTTCTTTCCCAGTGGCTGCAACAGGATCAACTGCTGCTATAGTCATTGCCAAATGTGCAAAGGCAAGCAACATTGACAGGGAGGCTGTAGTAAATGATCCCATAGGCACCTTGTTTCCAAGTGTTTCAGATGTAGAGGCTAGTTGATCTTCTAGTTGATAATGAATCTTTTTATGGATGAGTGCAATGGAATTGAAGTCTTGGTATTATATAGGAGGGAATGCAGTGTGTGTGTTGGAGTGGTTGTGAGACATGAGTGATCATGAAGTTGTTGAAATTTACAAGTTGATTAGTTGTGCCTTAAACAAAACAAATGAGGCAAAATTTATGTTTAGTGGCATTTTCAGATGTAATGGAAGAAAGCCACTTTGCAACGGGGATATCTGTGTAGAAATACCAATAGTTTGTTGTGTCACAACTCACAACCACTATATTTCTAAATGCTTTGCTTATGAAAGACATGTGCTAAGATACAAGGCTAAGGAAGAAAGTCAGAAACTAACTAGGTGGGTACAAGTACAGCTAGACCAAAATCTCAACACAATAGCTAATTGACCCTCTAATGACAATTCAAGTTTTATTTTTTTATGGGAAATTATAAAAGAAACTTTTGAGCCTTATTCCATCTTTAATTTGCATCTTAATATTTCAACTAGTACAATTTATTCACTTCCCTTATTTTACACGTGTGGATATTAATAATTATGCTATGATCCCTTTTAAGATAACTAAATATACAAACAGCAAAATTAAATTCTTATATCATTAGGTGAAGTTGATAACATAAGCTAATTAACGTTATTGGACTTTATCAAGTAAAATTATTTAGAGCTGGGCCTTTTTTAACGATTGTTTCTTAATTTCTTAGCTATTGTTCTATTTTTAAATGGATCGTCTTCTAATTTATATTAACACTTCTTTTTTCTGAAATTTCTATGATTTTTTTCTCATGGACAAACCAACTTATGTAAGTGTTTACCATCTTAATCTCAATAGTTGCCACATTAATTTTCTTTAAGAAATATCCCTTTGTAATCTTAATTATCTAGTATTTTCATGCATGATTTACTTGAAATGACAATAAGAATAGTATCCGTAAGCACTAATAAAACACACACGATGCATTAAACTTGGGTTAAATAAAGAGACTAGATCATCTTTTCCTATTGCAATTTACCTGTACGCATTGAAAATGCTAATTGTACAATCATTTATTTTATGGGTTAGGATTATTTTACACCAGTGTAAGTTACACTCTCAATTTTGATTGTTGATCCCGCTTATATCTAAGGGCCCTAATTTTTTAGTAATGTGAACTATTAGATACAAGTGAATCAATGCTCAAGATTGAGTGTATGACTTCTAAGTCTTACACCGGTGTAAGAATATTCTGCTATACTAGCAATTAATGTCAATAACACTTTTTAAAATTATTTTTTAATAATTTATATTAATATAACAAAAGTTTGCAATTTTTAACAAAGCTGAAAATTACCTTAGGATAAACCACTGTTTCAAATGTGTAACATAATTAGTCTCATGCATCAATTATGTTCCTCCATGAAAAAATGTATTCATCCATTTCGCACAATTCTCTCCTTATCTCTTAATATAGCTTGCCACAATAGTTGTAGTAATTCTCTCCTTATTTCCATATTGTTGATACACAACCTTACACATGTGAAGCATTTAACTGAAGATAAAAAAAAAAAAACTGAAACAAAATGCTACCAACTAAACCTGTTATCTGTAGTGGAGTATTTAAGAGGTAGGGTGGCACCTGCCCCAAAATTGAGTTCCACCACATGTATACATGGCCATGCAAGGAAGATCAGCAGTAGAAGACAATGACAAAGTGGTGAACTTCAGCTGCTGCATCCCAAAATTATCTTCAGTAGTTTTGCTACTGATTATAACCTAAACAAAATTTGATTTGCATTTTAAATAGGGTAGAATGATTTTGTTTTGTGTTACTTTGGAGGGTGTAGAATGATATTTGTTAAAGGACAAGTCAGATGAAGACCAATGCTACTTACTAGATTTGAAACAAAATAGCCATGTTCATCCAAAGAAAAAGATTTTTATTTTATTTGTATTACATTCATATGTTTTGCATTGCATGCATTGAAGATTAACTGGGTTGAAGAATAAAATTTTTAAGGAATAGCAAAAAGAACAACTCATGCTTTAGTCCATCATTAACCTAGGCCAGGTTGCCAAATATAAAAAGAACAACTCACCATATGGTTTTTAAATAAGATTTCAAATACATTATCAAAGTGACAAAATACAAGACCAATCTCATAATCATATGTAATTAAACAGAACCCAGTTTCTTTCACAAAATCCACATCATAGTTTAGTAGTTCAGATGGACAGTGATCCTCAGCAATGTCTCAGCACCATCAGTGGAAATTTGCCCTGGTGGGATAAGACCTCTCAGTTCTGCAAACCCTTTTGCATTCTTAAACTTCCCTGTACCCCCTATCACAGATAATTGTGACATGGTGCTTCCAATCTTGTACAGGCCATAAAAGTTCAAGCTATCTCCATATTCCCCTCCTTCAAACAGGGCTGTGAATGCCATCATCTGTCTAGTCCCATCTGCTGAACTTGCCACATACACTCCTTGAGCTTTCCCAATTATTTGTGACCCCAACTCAGGTTGAGAAGTTAGTATATCATCTATTACAGTGATTGTACCAAAGCCTAGTCCCAATCCATCAGGTCCTACTTGCAGCTGTGCATTATTTTGGTTGTTTTTGTTTGAGTTTCCTGCAAAGGTTGTACCAGCCAAGCCAGTTCCTAGTGGAATACCAAAAACTCCATTGACAGTGGGAATAGCACCATTGGCATTTGGGATGGGAATTCCACCTTGTGGTGTCTTGAATCCTACTGGGGTTGCAAAAGGCACTTGACCACTGTATATGTTACCTAACAAGCCAGTAGCTGGTCTAGCTGTTGGGTTACTACCCCCAAGAATGTCATGCATGTACAACTCAATAATAGGTTCTTTCCCAGTTGCTTCAACAGGGTTAACTGCTGCTATGCTCATTGGCATTGCAATAATTGCAAATGCAAGCAACATTGGCATGAAAACTGTAGCTAATGATGATACTAGAGACATCTTGTTTCCCAGTGTTTGTGTTTAGGATGAAGAGGCTAGTTCTTTCTTTTGGTAAAGATGAGAATAGTTATTTGGATGAATGTAATGGAATTCAAGTCTTGCTCTTATATAGTAGGAATGCAGCATGTGTTGGATTAGTTGTGAGACGTGTGGTAATGAAGTTGTTAAAATTCACAGTAAATTAAAGTAGTAGTTTAGTTATGCCTTAAGCAAGTTAGATGACCCAATTCTATTAGTAGTATTACAACCACTCAAACTAATGGTTTTCTATATATATATATATATATATATATATATATATATATATGACCTGGTCAACTTATACATGTTTCCTTCATTTTTATTCATCAAGTGCTACTCTAACATTCTTTTATTAGTGTAACATGAAGTTAATTTTATCTTTCTATCAAGTATAAGTTAGTGAAAATCAAAAACATTTTTTATCTCCTTTTTCACTCCCCTCATAATCTTTTATTTTTATTTCTTTCCATTTTTCACTTACTCAAACAAATATGGCCCAGTATACAACACCACTTTTGAAAGAGAAAGAAAAAAGAGGAAAAAATAAATAAAAAGCAACACTTTTGAGTAGTTTCTATTCTTGATTGTGCACGTTTTGAAGCCCAACTCATTGAATTTGCTAATTAATCAAACTTTGAATCCTTGAACGTTGTTCAATATATTTTCCTCAGCAAATTAAAAAAAATAATTAATTTCTCCAAATAATTATTTCATAATTTTCGGTTTTTCTTTTCCGAATGTGTTAAGGACATTGAATCATTCTTGCAGAAAAAATGTATTATTTCTAGTATTTGAGAAAATCGTGTATGGACATGTCATTTATTATATCCACCACACAATTTATAAATTTTTATATATTTTTTAAAGCAATTTTAAATGTAACATTTTTTATGCAAATTATATAATTTGTACTTTTAATTTTCATTTAAAAAAATTAAACTTAAACTTTAAAATACACAATTTACACTAACATCAAAGCTCAACACTTTTGTAACCCAAAAAAAAGGTTTCATACTTTAAAAACCATTTCCTATCAAACTTCAACTAGTGAGAATAGGGAAGAGGACAATATTTTTACGCAGCCTTACTTTTACATGTTTGTAAAAAGACTGATTTCTAAATTCAAATCCGTAACCTTTCAATTACAAAGGATCAATTCCATCATTGTTCCAGACTCATGCTCTTAAAGGTTCTATACTTTATTTAAAAAAAAAATCAATAATTTTTAATAGGAATTGGCAATTAAGGAAAATATTTTATCATTTTATTTCATTCATGAGTTTTGCCTTTCAACCATTGAAGATTAACAGGGTTAAAAGAACAAATTTTTTTTGAAGGAATAGAAAAAAATTAAAAAGGAAGAATATTGATAAATTTTCCATTGTCAATCATGCCATAACTGAGTCAGCTATCTCCTGCACAGTTCCATCATTATCCATAACTTTGTCCTGTCTCACAACTGGGGAAATCAGCATCCATACTGTTGAAAGCAAATAAAATATGAGTTGGAGAAATGGGTGAATTATCAAACTACTAGTTAGTACTAGTAACATGTTTTGATGTTTATATGTACATCTCAATTATAACAGTTGTTTTATTAATAAAAACAAGATCAGGGTCAAAGCCATTGAAATCTAGGAAAAAAATGTTTTTATGTATGCAATAATCATTCACTTACTGTAAATTGTTGCTGCAAACCACTCATTGATAACTTTAACCCATGTACTTGCCCAGCCAACATCAATGCTCCACCTAGTGGTTTGAAATGTGCATGATTTATACAAGAGAAGAGCATATAAGACATAAAAAATCATCATACTTAAAGCACTGAATCATCATGTCATTAATTAGGTTCCTTACTTTCTGGCTGAGTTATTCAGATCCCAACTGATGAATAACATTGCAAAGTACATTGCCCCTAAGGAGAATATCATATGAAAAAATCCATAATTGTAAGGAATATCATCTTCCTGTTCAACTTTGTTTCTGGAAAACTGGAAAAGACAAAAAAATTATTTCAATGAGTGGGGAATTGATAAACATCATTCTGTCACAATAAGGAAGTGGCTTAGATTAAATGATTCCAGTTTGGATATTGAAAAGTTGATGAAAGGAATATGATCTAATCCTTTTGGTTTTCTTATTGAATGAATTTCCCTAGATTTCTTAGTAACTTATAGAAATTTTTTCTTCAACTTTGCATTATGTTTGAGGTCTAATGTTGTCTTGTTATTAGATCAAAGAAAGGATCTTTATAACTCCCTAATGTCCAAAAGAACAGGATTTTGAAGCAATGAGAAAGTTTTCTGAATTTAATTGAGAAGACTCAGAAGAGTGATTCACCTGAAAGCATGTTGAATCAATGCCTGTGGAAAAGGCAGCCATCACAATAGCAAATATGGCAATAAGAAAGCCCTGTTAGGAGAACAGTATATAGCACAAAATCATAGGGTGACTAAAGCACTCATGCATGCAAAGAAACATCCATAGTTTGAGAATATGTATATTGTAATTCTATTTCATAAAATAACAAATAAAAAAATTCCAAAGACAGTGAAGAGTCAAAAAAATGCCTGCATAGTCCTAAATGAAAATCTAACAAGAGCATTGATTAGACTTGCAAGAAAACATATTGAACATTAAGTACCAACTACTGTAAAATGATCAGTTAAAATGTCTAAATCTAATTCTATTTCATTGTTTATCCTTGTAGGTAGTTCTATCCTTTAGAACACTGCATTTAAACATAGATTCAGCAAACAATTGAAGTATAGAAAGTCAAAGACAGAAATAAATTCTTAGACGCTCTTTGTTTTGCTGATTCTTACAAAGATGTAACCAATTATGTTGGGTTGGTATTGTGATGCTAAAAATGGAAAGACAGACATGGCTTGGTACCATATCTGTAGGTGCCTAAAGATCCTATCAAAGTGACTTTCCTCTATTCTTAATTATCAGGTATCCAAACAGAAATTTAACTTACTAGAGTTGCAGTTGCAGACACAAGTAGTAGAAACATGCATCCCAAATTACTTCACTTGAAAGGAAAAAAGACACATTCATGTTCTTGTTTCATTATATTAAATTCACATCATAAATTGAAGACAGAGACACCTGCTTAAACATTGTGGCCATTCTGCCAACACTTAAATAGAAAATCTACTACTTTTAACCTCGATAATTGCATATATTATAGAAGACCGTAGATTTTTGAACTCTAGGGAAGTTTAAAGGAAGTAAACAAAGGTTTTTCAAATTAAACATTAAGATATATTGAAAAACTTACAAGTATAGTTATCCAACCACCATTTTCTTTCTCTTGGTTCTTTGTCTCACATCTTATGGTGGTAGGTTCACTGAAATTCCATCATGGAGATCCATAAATATACCATCTCTAGAAAAAATTCAAAATTTTCACATAAAATCTATGATTTGAAGTTGACACTGGATGAAGTTAGCACATATAAAATCAAATATATTATAATGGAAATTGTAAATATAAATGTACCCTCCTCAGCAAAAACAAAGTAATAATTATGGCATGAGCCATAGCTAAGTGAATTGCATTGTATGTAAGAAAGGAATCTAATCTTCATGCAAAAAATTTTATGATTACTCATGTAGACAACATTTAAAAGTCAATCTGCTATAATTTCCAATTATTAAGCATCAAATTCAATACATGCTAATCATAGTGTAATGGCTACTTGAGTTACTATAAATAATCATCATGCATTAACCCAAATTGATACATCACATTTTCTCCAAAGAAGGAACTTCGTGAAAATAAAGATTATGCTATGGATGTAGTACATATAGAGATTTAGCATTTCAGGGGGGTAAAATTTAGTTCACCCTTTAATTACTATTTACATATAAAAAAAAGAAACAATTCATGTTACGAATAAAATTTCATCTTTCTGCTTGGTAGAGGCTAGAGTGGTTGTCAGTTCTTGGCAACAAATGACTTGACTGTGTTCTGTCTTTCACTTTTACTAAGAATTTTACAACTAAAATATTGAACTCACAAGTAACTAATGATGATCACAAGTTCATGAGGAATGTTAGCAATACTCTTTGAAATTCTCTTTTCAGCACTCTATTATCATGTCAACTTCTATGTTAGCCCTACTAAATAACCTGACCCCACTCTTTATTAGTGGGGCCTGCTTAGAATTTTAAAGAACAATAAAAAGATTATTGAAAAGATAATGTAAAAAAGTGTGTTGTTAGCATTTCTCAAAGAATCATAGGCCTAAAAAGATTAGTACAAATGATGCTTTGGTGGTTTTGTCAGTCTCAGCCAGGTCAGTATTAGATAGAGATATAAAAACCAAATAAGTAAACATTCTTCTAGGTTATTAACATGAGAAGTTGATATCAATCAATGCATGATAAAAATTCTATAATATTGATTAGAACTGATATAATGCCTAAAAGGAAACTTCAAAAAGAGCCAAGGAACCATTATAGAGATGTATGGGTTAGAATCCTGACCTTCTGATTGCACACCAACAAAGGAAAACAATGTAAGAAGCCATAATTCCTGAGGATAAAAGGCCTCTATTAACCTGTAATAATTAAGCATTTTAAGTGACAAAACATAGATTTTAATGGATTTCATGCAAATTAAAATATTAGGATAAATTCATGATAAAATAAAATGTACTTGTATGGCAAAAAAGAAACTTAGGGTAAAGTTTAAGAGATGAAAAGTGTGTTTTTTTCCCTTTAAGTAATCAAAATAGAGTGTACCTTTGAATTTAAGGATATAGCCATCATAACAGCAAGCAGAATTGCTGTCCATGTGACGAAAAATATATTGAGAGAACATGAAGATCTTGAGGCATATGATGTGTACAAATAGACAATTCCGCATATAGAGGCAACATAAAACAACGTTGACATAAAAAGTCCAAAGGAGCACCTGTTCCAACTCAATAAGATGCTAATGTATCAAAATACAGACATTGCTATTAAAGCTAATGGCATAAAGAAATGGTGTTGATGTTAAATAATGTCAAACACACTATTATGGGTTATCTATGCTTTGAAGTTATATTCCATCAAGAAAGTAAACTGTTAGAGTGGCCTAGATTTTATGATTCATAAGCTTTAAATTACTCATTCTTAATTTAGGAGCATAGGTTGTTAAGTAATTTGGCCTAGATTTTATGATTTTTATTTATTTTTTGCCAAGTTAAGTAGGATAACAACACAGCATCTGAATGTCATAGTAAAATAACACACTTCATATCGGATTTGGTTGGTGTAGACATAGTAAGAAAAATCAGTATAATCAATTTTCAAGTACAATCTAACACTTTATATTATATAGTACGAAGAAGAGAGAAGTCTATTGAGAGGAAGCACCTTTTTTGTTGCAAGCTATAACATTTATGCAATTTTTCCGCAAATCACCATCTTTAAAAACCAACCCTATTTGCCTCTCGCCGCCACAAAGCCATGGATCCCATAAATCAGTTATTGGTTCTGGTAACATTCAAATTCAACCTTCCTTGTTTCTTAAGAATGTCCTTTATGTTCCTCAGCTTTCTACTAATCTTATCTCCACTCAAAAACTTACAACTGATTTGAATTGTTCTATCACATTTTTTCCTTCTCATTGTGTTATTCAGGATCTTACCACGAAGAAGACAATTGGAGTTGCTAATGAACAGGATGGGTTGTATCATCTCCTTCCAGACCATGCTAGCAAAAATCAGTTATTAATGACACGTCATCCTTCTACTGCAGAGTCTATGATTTGGCTCCATCACAAGCGTCTGGGGCATCCACCATTTAGTCTTTTGAAGTCTATGTTCCCCTCTCTGTTTCTCAATAAGTCGGTTGAGACCTTTCATTGTGATGTTTGTGAATTTGCAAAACACCATCGAGTGTCATTTCCTTCTAGCACTATTAAAAGCAAGGAACCTTTTTCTCTTATCCATTCTGATGTTTGGGGCCCTTCTAAAGTGCACAGTGTTTCAGGTGCAAGGTGGTTTGTTTCTTTTAATGACGATTGTACTCGGGAAACATGGATATACTTGATGAAAGACAAGTCTGAAGTACCAGAGATATTTATTCGGTTTCATCACATGGTTGAGACTCAGTTTGGTAAAGTATTAAAAGACTCAAATCTGATAATGGTACTGAGTACGTCAATCAACGCCTGTCACAATTCATTTCAGACAGAGGTATGATTCATGAGCTCACATATGTTGATACCCCTCAACAAAACGGGGTTGCTGAAAGGAAAAATCGTCACCTTCTTGAAGTTGCTAGAGCACTACTTTTCCAGACATCTGTTCCTAGTTCTTATTGGGGAGAAGCAGTGTTAGCTGCAACTTTTTTGATCAACTGTTTACCTTCACGGATCCTTAACAATATCAGTCTTATTCATTCCATGACTTCCTTCTTTCCTTCTGTTCCCATATTGCAGAGCCTTCCACCAAGAGTGTTTGGATGTGTTGCATTTGTCCATGTTCATAAACAACATCGGAGTGAGTTGGATCCTAGGGCTCTTAAGTGTGTTTTCCTTGGTTATACCCCTTATAAAAAAGAGTACAAGTGTTACCATCCACCAAGTCGAAATTTTTTTGTTTCTATGGATGTCACCTTTCAAGAATCTGAATCTTATTTCCTGGGTCCTCATCGTCAGGGGGAGAACAGTTCTTCATAAGACTCGTCCCCTTCCTTCTTTGAGCCTGGATCAGTCTTCTCTCTACCTAGTGTATCTGCTCCTGGTGTGTCAGAACCTTCAAATACACCTGAGATACGGAAAATTTTGACACCTAAATTGGTATATCAGAGGAGGAAACAACCCATACTGTCTCACCAGTAACCTCAATCGTCTGAACCACTGGTAAGTCCTGAATCTCCTGTTTCTTCTGAGTCTCCTGTTTCTCCTGAATCTCATATTTCTGATCATGATGTTAATACTTCTGATGA